CACCTGCTTCCCCTGCTCACCTACACTACGCTCTTCTGTTTTTTTCTACTGTTTGCACTTCCCCTCCCGATCACCTGATCGATCTTGGCTTACCGCTCCAGTGTTCGTTTGCACTCTTCCTCCACTCCAGTCATCCCTTGCCTCGCTCTCCTCTTACCATCCATCCGTTTCTGTGTTTGTTTGATTTGGATTTGATTTGATTTCGCCAGCAACAGTTCTTGCTGCTTCCTCTGTTCCTTCTACTTGAAATTCTCTAGTCACCTCCCCCTCCTCTCTGTAACTAGCCTTATTCAAATACTCTCTGCACAGTTTCTTGACCTTTTCGCGTGCCGTGTGACGTGGACGCAGTCGCCGTCCCCGTCTCCGTTGCCGTCTACAATTGTAACTGCACATGCGCGCGCCTTGTTCCTCTGCTTCCTCTATTCCTTCTGCTACCTCTGTTCCCGTTGCTGCTCTTCCTCCGCCCCCAAATTGGCAATTTTGCAGCTTTGGCAGCGCGTCCGTCCTCGCCTTCCTTCTCCATCGCTCCTGCTGCCAAAGCTGCTGCAGTTGTTGCTGCTGCGGGAAATGCGATTGACGGTAATTGGTTGACGTTTGTCTTATTTAAATTTGTTTTCTTTGCGATTTTTTTCCCTACGTCGCTGTCGCTGATTCAACTCCCGCTTGGTTCTTGCACGCTCTCATGACTGATACACTTCCTCAAAATAAGCATACACATTTTATAATGCTGCCTCAAAGGAGAATTGAAGAATGTTTAAAAATTCACTTTTTTACTCACTTATTTACTTACTGACACTACTGACACTCGTCCTACATAAATTTAATTGAAAACATTTCATTGTAAATTCCATATCCGTCCTGAAAGCGCATCTACTGATCGTTGTGGCTGCCAGGGTTCTTTCCGCATTTCTCGTTTCCTTTATGGACTCTTCTCTCAAGCTGCTGCTGCTGGTGCTGCTGCTGCTCTCTGGTCTGCTCTAGTCCGTGGAGCGAGCGGCGTGCAACTTTAATTGAAATGAAATGAGTTTCGTCGATTTGTGTTCTAGGAATTTGTTTTTTGATTGTTTTCTTGTAAATTTGAATGATTATCGAGGCAGTTGCAGCAGTTGTTTTTTGCTTTTGCAGTTGTTCCTGTTGCTGTTTTGCAGCAGTTGCGCAATTGCCGCAGAAGAGAAGTAAACCAAACAAGTCGTTAAACCCCCCCCACTCTCTTCCCGCGCGCGTAATTGCTGATCAGATGGATCAAAGACCCTACAACACAGATCATTGCAGGGTACAACTTTATATGTGTGTGTGCAGTACTTCAAGAAAGTGTTGGCACAATAGAATATATGTACAAATGTGTATGTGTTTATAAATATTATGCCTCATGCATCTTTGTTGTTTTTTCTATAGAAAATTGAAATTAAGAAATTTCATTTAGTACATGTTCGAATATTTGAATTAGCTTGCTTTCTGCACACACTGTATGTGTATATAGAATATGGGAAATTCATAGAAATATCTTTTTTTGTCAATATCCTCCTCTATAGATTGCGCGTAATTGAGCTGCGGTAACTTTTAATTGTATGGCGGAAGCGTTTGTAGAACTGGGCCAGTATTTACAAAGAATCAAACGAACACAAAGATTAAGAGAAGCCGAATGCTGCAGCAGAATGGAAGGCAATTTGTTACCGCTATACCGATATCGCCACGCATCCCGTATATCGCGATAAAGCTGCACGCTAAGCGAAGCCACTTCCTCAAATAAACATTCACTGCAGAACAGAACTGCAGAACAGAAAGAGATGGAAACAAGGATGAATAGTGAGGAGAGAGGAGAGAGAGAGAGAGAAAGACACAGAGTCCAGAGCTGAGGCAAGATTGAAACCGAAACTGATGCGTAGTTTAGGGCGATTTACACACAGTTTAAACAGACATCCCGATACAAATCGCCCGGCAGAGATCTTTCACAGGAGAGTTTGGGTGGAGGCAGCTGTGGGGCAGCTGCTTGGATGCAGGTCCGGAGCCAGATATCCAGTCTTCCTGGTGCCATAACTGTAGCAAATGGCTGGGCAACATGCAGGTCTCTTTCAGTTCCTGCAGAACCTCAGACAGAACCTCCAGAGCCTGAGACTCTGGGACTCTGGGACCCAAAGGTCTATGGCGTAGGCGTCTGTTGTTGTTATAAATTGCACATTTGATGAGCAGAGAATCGTTTATGGGTTGGTTTTATTCTCGTTCTCCATTCTCCCCCTGCCTGACCACAAACCCCAGGCCCACAGCTGTGCGAGACGATCCCCACACTGTGTAGAGTCCCCCGACTTGGTGTCTCACTCCTTGGTTTGCATGAACTGGGCTGATTAATTGTGGCAACGTCATAAACGTGATGATATCGCAATGTAAGCGCATTTTTCATGTTATTCAATTCGTTGCCCCCAGCTCCAGCTCCAGATACAGTTCCTGCCACAGACACAGCCACAGCACCAGCACCAGCCACAGCTACAGCACCAGCTCCAAGTACCAGCTTCGAATGGGCACTACAATGTATTTGCATATAGCATTACGAAAGATTTGAACAACGAACTCGCTTGGCGGAGCGGAGTCTCTCGATATTGCAACTAATTACGAGTATTAACGCAATTTGGTCTTCATAAAACATTCGGTTCCGCATTGCCCCCATCCCGCATGGCCTCCCCCTTACCAACTAACCGCTCCGAGCAATTGAGATTTAATTTGATTCTTTGCCCAAACCCGGACAGGTGTCTATGAGGCAGGTGTTTCGCCTCATTGTCTCGGCCAGGAAGCATTTGGCATGCGTTCATTTATTTAAACTGATTTTTTTTCATCTCTTTCTCCTTCGCTCGGTTTTCCTTTTATTTTTTATTTTTGTTTAGAAAACTGCGCAATTTTCATTGATTTTGGTCAGAGCGAGGTCTGGTCTGGCTTTTGTTGCTCGGATCGTTTAAGGCTTAGCAGTACGAGTACAACAATAGTATACGAGACAAGTGAGATCACATCGTATACATATTATAGAAATTCGTGTCGGGAATTTATAATTTCAATTCTCTTACATTCTTTTTGGGGGCTTGAGCACGTAGCCAAGGAAGAACCGAAAATCCATTTGATTTCAAATATTTCTAAAAATTCCTATCGAATTTTATTTTGGGTTTAACAGCTTTGATTGAGTAAAGGGTGATAGTTCTGCTAGAGAAGATTTTTTTTTTTTAAATAACATTGAAAAATCGCTCCAAACGACGTAGAAATAGTTCCAGAAATAGATTTATCTTCGGGTTTTGTCTTCGTTGTGTCTTGGCTAAATTTATGTTCCAGATAGTTCCAGTCCATTCCTTTTCTTCCCTTTTCAACATCTGAGTGCCTTTGTATTCCCCTTTATAGCTCTGCAAATTAGTAGAACAACTTGTTTTCACCTCTTTAGACACCCTTTAAGCACCATTTACATTGCTTTTCCATCGTTAAATTATAGAAATTCGCATTCTCATTCGTTTTCACCTGCTGCTTGCGTTGCACACTTATGGTCCGATCAGGTAATTGTCGACTCAAATGGATTGCCCGACCATTTATACCTTTCATTGGGGATAGTTGCGCCCGCCCACACGCCTCCAGAGGCATCCAGAGACAAGTCAACTTTCAACGTGATTTGCTGCTTTGCATATACATTTATTTATCTGAGACATTTATTTAGACACAAATACAAGTTTTATTTCTATAGTATAGTATAGTATAGTATATATGTAGTATGTAACGTTATGTGTGTATGGAAACGATACGCTCTATTTGTAGGCCATATAAGCTGGGTTTTAATACAACTAAAATGTACAGACTAAACGACTAAGACAATGCATTTGCCATTTGTGTGGAAAAATATGAAACTAATTGCTAAACGAGAGTTATTCGATTATAATTGTGGATTGCATTCGATCAACAGTTTGCACAACATCTAAATTATGAGGAGGAAATCGATTGCATTAATTTATAAATTCATTTTAGCTACATTTTAGATGTTTTCGTTTTCGCTTTTTGTTGTTGTTTTGTTTTGTTTTGCATAACATTCACTAAATGATTACACGGCTATTGGTTGGTAATATTTCTTACTTTTTAGTTACACATTGACATTGCCATTCGGTTTTATATATATATATATTTATGGTTTATGGTTTACAATACATATATATTTTTAATCTTTATTTTGTGGCTTCTTTTTTTTGTGTGTGAAATTTTTTTGTGTTTGTGGGTTGTTTTTTTTTTCTTCTCGTATTTGACTGAACCGCATGAATGGCTTTTCCATTTAATTAATAAAATTGGTTTTCAAGTAATTATTAAATTAAACATAAAATTAAAATCACAATTTTATAGACTTGATGTGTGTGTGTGTGTATGTGTGGGTGTATGTTTGTTGGATTTGCTGTGTGTGTGTGTGTGTGTGTTTATATTTTTGCTGTGTGTTCTGTCAGCATTTCCATACGATTTTTCCGTGGATGGAACTTCTTTCAATCTTTCCTTTTAGGGACTTCCTTCAATCATTCATTTAATCGTATTCGATTCCATTTAGAATATTCTTGTTGAATATTTCCTTGGAATTTCGTTTTTCAAAGCATACTCGTCATACTCGTTCTTGGGGGGCATAGCAGGGAAAGGCACAATTCAATGTTAATTAAAAATTGCTGCTGCAAGCTATTTAAATTGGTGAAAGCTGCCACAGAGAGACAGGGAGAGAGAGAGAGAGATAGAGAAATGCATAAGTAAAGAGAAAAATATTAGATTTTCTCAGTTTTAATATTTGTTTAGTTCAAGTCTCCAAGTTTTTGCACGAATTTAATAAGGAAAAAAAAAACAATCAAAACGCAGCACGATTTGCATTGCCACGCCTGCCCAGCAGCCTCCCCGTTTTTTGCACCCACCTGCAGGAACACACACAGCGTTCCAAATGTTTGTAGTTTTGCATCTTTTTATTGTTGGATTGGATTGTAGTTTTGTAGATCTGTTTTTCTTTTTATATTTTTATTTATGCTGTGTTGCTTGTAGTTGGGGGTCGATGGCAGCTAGAAACGAGTTGGCAACGAATCATCATCATTAACATCATCTTCTGCTACTCTACTTCCTCATCATCATCATCATCATCATCATCTTTAGCTACTTCTACATTGACATCCTCTCCTCTAAAGATACAACGTCGCCTGCTGCCTTTGATCGAAATGATGTATATAGAGCTTCTTCTTGGACTTCTCTTTGGATGGCCGCAAGTCCCACACCAGATTCGACAGGCTTCTGGGCCGTGACAAGCGTCGCGTCTTCTTCTCCGGCAGCTTGTTCGAGTCCCCCGATGTCCGGCCGCCGCTGCGCGACGAGTCCAACGTACCCTCGCGCGGATTGTGATGATTATTGCTGCTGGAGCTGCGGCTGTGCGGCATCGGCATCGGCATCCCCATTGCCGTGGCCGGTGCCCCTGACGAGAGATAGCCGTGCGCATTAAGAATGCTGCCACACTTGAGCACCACTTCGGGTGGTGTGCCTGGCGATGCGTTGGACGCCGGTACTGCCGCTGCCTTGCCATGGGCTGAGATCGTCGGCGGCGTCATGGGTGTATTATTGTTGTCCGGCGTCAACTGCAGGCTACTGAGGCTCTTGTACCTACGGAGAGGAATGGATGGATGGATGGATGGATGGATGTCTCCCTCTGGGATATCTGATATGATAAAAGCGCATCCTTACCTGATGTGAAACAGCGGCGATTGCGGCTCCAGCGACTCCTTGGCTGGCAAATGATTCTGCGGCGTCAGCACCTTGCCGTGATGGGGATGAGGATGGGGATGCGCGTGTGGATGGGAGCTATGCGAGTGGTTGTGCAAGGATCCATGATGATGGGCAGCGGCCACTGCAGCAGCAGCCGCATTGGCCACAGCATTCGCCGTATTTCCATTGGGGGTCGTCGCCTGTTGTTGCATCTGCAACTGCTGTTGCTGCTGCTGCTGCTGCGAATGGTTGTGACTGTGACTGTGACTATGGCTGTGACTGTGGCTGTGACTGTGGGTGGTGGCGGTGCCGGTGCCGGTGCCCGTGGAGTTGCCGTTGCTGCTGCTGCCGGCACTATGGGCATTGGCATTCTTGATGTAAAGCTTTGGTAGTGTGGGACGTTGACGCTTCTCCGCCGGCTTCTTGCCGGGTATCGTCTCAATGGGCGGTGGCACCGGCTTGATGTCCTCCTGTATATGGCTGTGGTGATAATGATTCACCATGTGATGGCCATGGCCATGCTGATGCGGATGCGGATGCTGGTGCTGGTGCGGATGGGGATGCTGATGCTGATGGCCGCCACCGTTGCTGCTGCTGTGCTTGTTCGACTCCAGGCTGCTGTAGTTGTTGTTGGCGGAGGAGGAAGCCGCTTGCTGACTCGACTGCTGATGGGGTATGGGGGCACGGATGAGGCTGCAGTAGTTGCCGCTGCCGCTGTCCGTGTGGTGCGACTTCAGTGTGGGCGACTCGCAGATGGGCTCGAACCGTGCCAGGCCCTTGGAGAGGGGTGTCAGGCCACGCACATAGTCGTAAATGTGATCGATCTCGTTGTACTCCTCGGCTATCTCGCTGTTCAACGCCTGCTGGTGCTGCTTGGACCAGGAGTCGCAGCTGGCGCTCTTGCGCAGCACATAGCCGCTCTCCGCCAGTCCGCTGGCCATGCCCGCGGCCGAGGGCAGCATCACCACGGGCAGCCGGTTGCCGCTGCCATTCCGACTGTGGAACTTGGAGTCCTTCTTCTCCTTCTCGCTCAGCTTGAGATCGACGATCTGCAGGCGATCGCGCGCATCCGCCAGCAGGCGTTGCGCCTTCTCCAGGAAGCGCGTGTACTCGATAAAGTGCTCCAGCTGCTCCATGTTCTTGACCCGCTGCAGCTTGATCTTGGCGTTCAGGGGCACTGGCACCAGATCGGTGTCCTTCTGCAGGGGCAGGGCAAAGATCCGATCGATTTCCACGCATCCCAGCAGCCGCAGTTCCGGCACAAACGGTTGCTTCAGTCCCTTGGGGGCACTGCCATGGACGAGTCTGTGTGTTGGGTGGGGGGGTCAAGGATTATTATTGCATGTATGTAGATTATCCTGCAAAGAAGGAGAAACCAATAGAGATCTGCGACTCACCTCACAATGACTGGCATCCGCTTGAGGAGCAGATTCTTGACGGTGTGCACACCGCTGATGCTGTCCTCGCGCGCTATGGCCGAGAACTTGGCTTTGGTATCGAGTGGCAGATTGATGATCTCGTCCTTGATGTTGCGGCACTGCAGGTACTTGCCATTGTCGTTCATCGTGGTCAGCAGCTCGCCCGCGTGTATGGTGCGGTTCATCTGCTGGCAGCGGAACGTCTCCCGCACAAGGACGCGGGCATTGCGGCGGCGCGACAGCTCCAGGACCGAGTCAATGCAGCGCGTGGAGCGCCCATCCTCGCTGAGCAGCTCAAAGTAGCCGCCATAGGTCTCCGGTATGAGCACCTTGGCGCCCACATTGGTGGGCTTGCGACCCTCCTTGATCTTGATGGGCTGCGCGAGGATCTGGTACTTTTTGCCGGCGCTCAGGAACAGGGCCGTGCTCTGCAGCGAGGGGGCCGAGAGCGTGGGCACGCCGAGGGCCTGGTGCTGGCCCTTGAGGATCTTGGCCACCGCCGGCAGGGGCTGTTTGGAGAAGTCGCGCAAGTAGACGGGCGTGGCATCGCCGAATCGGGAGGCGGCCAATATGATTTGGCCATCGGTGGCGGCCATGTCGCGGTTGAAGAACGAGAGCAGTTTGCTGCGCGCCAGTTGCACATTAAATGAGAGTAAATTTCATTGGACTGGCTGACGTAGCTGCTCTCCACCCACGGCTCCCTCCTCGCTTTCGCTTCCGATGCCGCTCGCTTTGCTCTCGTCCTCGTTCTCGTCCTCCTCTTCCTCCAACTCCAACTGGCGGGCGTTGGCGTTGGCGTTGATCTGATCCTCGAGAGCGCGCCGCTTGGCCAGCTCCTGTTGGCGCTGTCTCAACAATTGGGCCCCTCGGCTGCAGCAGGCGTGTGCGATGTCTTCGTCGGTGGGCGTGGACGTGGTCGGTGGCGCCCCCGTTGGATGCGGATACTGATTCTGGTTGTGGTGGTTCTGGTTCGTCAGCAGTCGCGTGGATGTCTGCAGAGCGTAGTTGAGATACTGCATTCGGTTCGATTTACTCTCCACCCGCTGGCCACAGTGTGCGAATTTTTCTTCAAGCTGCTGCTGTTCCAAGCTCTCTAGCTGCTTCGGTGTCGTGTCTTCCTTTTGTGAGCCTTTGCCTTGCTTTAGTAGTGTCCTTTGCTTGTGTCCTTAGTTCTGCAATGGAAGAATTTAAAGAGGAAGTTCATAAAAAATAACAAAACCAGCGGAAATTGCACCCTGGCTGCTGCTGATGCTGCATTAGTTGAATGAAATGTTGGTTACAAATTTCCACTTTTGGCTCAAACTTAAAATATTTTCCACGTCTCCTGCTGATCAGCTAGAATCCGCAATAAGTTCTCACACTCGCACACACACACACAGCGGACACACACACAGCGGACACAGGGTGTTATTTATGAGGTCCATAAAGTAAAGAGACGTCGACCAAGACGACGAAGAAGATGGCAAAGTGCACAAAATGAAAACGCAAGCAGCAAAATGCATACATACATATAGAATAGACAAGACGACTGCGACAATGCCCCAAACATCCCATTAACAACATTATAGAGGGGTAGGCGGTGGAGGGATAGGAAAAGAGCAGGGGGGAAGCCAGAGCCGGACAAGGCAGGAGTCGATATGGCCATGGGCCAAAAGAGACCGCAGACCGTAGACCGTAGACCGTAGACCGACCAACAAATGGCAAGACATTAAAAGTACTTAAAGGATATTTGCATATTTTATGGCCAAACATAAATGTGGCTGATTACAAGAGTCCCCAAGACGTGGGGACAGACAACTGCTGTGCTATGCCATGGCTAGAAGCAGCATTATGTGTGTGCGCGGGCGGCAGGCAGGCAGGCTGAATCGATGTTGTGCCATTTGCATATGGCATACAGGTGGAGGCTATGGAGGGATGGCATTATAGGGATATGGCCAGATTCACTCCAGCAAATTAGTTGGCAATTAGCAAAGTGGCCGCATCTGCTGGCCAATTGACTTTGGCTTTCGGTCTGGGCAGAGCATCCATCTTCTAATTGCTTTTCCATTTGTACTGAACGTGTGCGTTGTGCGTCTGTGCTGCCGTCTATAGCCAGTAGCAGTGGCAGTGGCAGCGGCAGCGGCAGTGGCACCACTAACCCGAGTACGATGGTAACATTGGGAGCAGTTACAGCATCAGCATCAGCATCAGGCAACAGCCTTAGTGCCCATAAACCGACGTCTGCTCATAAAGCATTTAACGAGCCCTAGGGGCTGGTTTCCCTCCCCAGTACAACTTCCCGAAACTACCCAAAAACCAGATGCATCTGGACTTAATATTGGGTCATATAACCTGCAAAATTTTAGTTTGTCCGACAAAAGTTATTAAATCTTTTTTAGCCCTTGGCGTACAGCCCAGCACCGGGCCATTAACAAGCAACGCGAAAATTTCCTTAAAGCAGAAAATTTAATTGATTTTTTTTTTAACTGCTCTGGAATTGAATGGGGTCTTGCGATTATGGCATACAACTCTGGGCTTGCTTTGCCCCAAGCCTAATCTAACCTCAAATGTTTGCTACACATTTCGGTTGCTCGTTTCCTTTTTTTTTTTTTTAATTTTTTATTTCTGTTTAGTGGATCTGCTTTCCAATTAATTGCCAGACAAAGGCTGAGACGCCAACACGGTCGGCAATTAATTTTCACCATGGAAAGTACCTTTTCCTGGACAGCAAAGCACACACAGAGAGAGTGAGTGAGAGCGGGTGAGAGAGAGAGGGAGAGCAGCGTCTCAGACTTGGCAATTCTCACGCTCAACGTGGCCAAAAGCCTTTTGTAACTTATGTGGAAACGTGACATTTTCTCGGCTACTGGACAAAAATTGATGCCGCAGAGTGGCTGCAGAGCAGGAGAGGATTGGGTATTGGTCCAGTCCGCCAGAGTGTATTATAGGAGCAACAGCAACAGCCACCAACCGAACGACCGACTTGTTTCCTGGCTTGTACGTGTCTGGATTTTTTCCTGCTCTTTTCTGTTTTATTGTTGCCTGCTACCGTTGTATCTGCTGTTCTTTTTTCCTTTACTCTCTTTTTTTTTTGCTTGTCTTTGTTTTTGTAACTTTTGATGTCACACAATGACACAGTTTCACGTGCGGAGTGCTCGTAATTTGTATTTGGCCTCGTCTCGCATTTACGTTGATCTCATCGAAAATGTCTTAATTAATTTGTGCGCCGAGGCGCCCCAACGGGAAAGTGGCACAACAGAGCAGCAGCTGCCACCAGCAACAGCCACCGCCGACCTGAAGATCCCCAAGCTGAAAGAAACAAAAAAAAGGAGGAAATACAGGCGGCAGAGGAAGAAACCCACTTAATTTATGACTGGCACGACACATACTCGAAAGATGACTTCGCATGAAGCCCCACAAAAGGCTTACAATTTTTTCCTGTCGCTTTTTTTTTTTTGCTTTGCGGAATCCTTTTCAACATCCTGCCTGCCTGTCTGCCACAGTTTGATGGCCCCGACTGTTGTCTGCTGCCTGTTGCACTGCCTGACACCAAACCCCTGGAGGAACTACGGTCGCCCCAAGGCGAAGCACTTGAGCAAATGAAGCCCCCAAAGAGTCAATATGTGCAAGCGAGTGCTGCAGTTTGGGGCAACGTAGGGCAGAGTTATGCTTATGAAAGATATGCATTTATGTACATGCATACATATGTAACCCAAGACGCAGCCCGAGCACATAATGAGATACGCAACAGCTTCAAAAAATAAAACCAATAGCAACAACTGCAAAAAAAGGAAACGAAACGGAAAGCAGGAGCAAAGAAAAGACTAATCGACTAGTCGATGCGCTGTAACTAAAAGCATATCGATGTATTTAAATTATTCACATCGATCATTTGGGCTCTACATTAAGGAGTGTAATGTTTAGCATTCTCTGCTAAGTGTTCTTTATTTTCGTTTCGATGCATCGATAGAATATCGCTATTACTTTTGGGCTAATTTCTGGGATCAAAAAAGGTCACACTATTGCTTTGTGCGCGCTTTTAACAACCGTTGCTCCGTTCCGTGTGTGTGAAAGTGAAAACTGTTTGTTTAATTGTGTCTAGAACCACCAACCAAATAGCATAGCATTTCCTGGTGCTACCCTAGGGCCACAGACTGCAGGCAAAATAAAAGGAGTCGAAGGCAAGTGCGATAAAAGCAACGTCAAAAGGATTAGAGCTGTGCAGCTGTAAATCCACGTATGTACGTGTTGTGTGTGTGTGTGTGTGTCGAGTGCAAACAGAACATGTCTGCACATAGGTGGGTGGCGTGACATGGCTTGGCGTTGCCTTTGGCTTTTGTTTGTCTCGAACAAAAGCCAGAACTAGCAAAAGGGGGAATAAAGGTACAGAGGGTGCCAGGAGTGGCAAAGGAAGTAGAAGTAGAAAAGGAAAAGTGTAAGGAGCACGACCTGCTTGTAAGCCAAAAGAGCTCATAAAAGGAAACACCCATACATGCATGTTGGCACCGTGTGTGGGTTCGTGGGTGCATGTGTGTGTGTGTGTGTGTATGGCACATTAATCACACTAAAGAGTTTTACAAAATGCAACCCAACTCCGCTGCCGACTGCACTGCCAGAGTGGGAGAACCCAAAGATGTTGCCGTTGCAGTTGCAGCTCTGTAGCTGTAGCTTTTGCTGTTGTCACCACTTTAAGCTGCGGCTTAAAAAATCGTATACCGTCTCGGGAAAGCCGCTTAGTTGGCGACGGCTAAGAATCCGCGTCGCGTCCTACGTCAACCGCAACACTTGACGCCGCTGCCAGCGTGCCCCTCTCCCAACACCACCCAGTGGGTTTTTGATGGAAGGTAAAGCATGCCCAGAGTGCGCTCTGAAGATATATACATATGTAGGTGCCTAGTTTAATCGAGTTGCGGCTGCAATCAAAATAGGGAATCTCGCAAATACCTCACCGTATACGAATGCACCTTGCTACCTGCTACGCTCTCCAATTATACTCCCCCTACAACTATTCACTCTCTCTCTCCACACTACACCCTCTCCTTTCTCGACGCTCTTTGATATTCCTCTTACATAAATGCACTACTCCTGCCATGGCGACGCTTTTTATGCTTCTCTTTCTTCGTTTTTCTTTATTTGATTTCATTTCCTTTTTGTCAAGCATTTTTCTTTGGTGCAGAAGGAGCACCTTCTTCAGCCACAGCCTCCAGTACTCCTTCCACTCTCTTAGTTCTTTACTCTTCTCACTCCTACTCACGCTCTCAGTTGCCTTATTATGTCGTTTCAAGCACTTTTGATTACTTTTTATCCGCTTTGGCCGCGGGTTTCATAGCTTACAGCTTTGTGGCTTATATTATCCCCTATACCCCTATCAACGTCCCCCCTGCCCCAACCCGCCTCTCGACGTGACTAATGACGTGGTGGACGCTGGACAGCGCTTAAGTTTGTTTAGTCTCCATCTCCAGACCGCATTGGGACCCCTTCATTCCCCCCTTTATCCAGCGTCGTGATGTAAATAAATGAAATAATATTCTCTTGCTGGTTGTCCCGCCATGAAAAATTAACGCCGACTGTCCAATTCTTGGATTCTTTTTGTTTCGCTTTTATCTCCCCTCTATTTTTTCTTTTTTTTTTTTTGCACGCTTTTGGTTTTTGTTTTGGCGGACAATTGCGATTTTTGCTTTCATTTGTCAAGTGTTGAAATCGTTAGTGTTGCTTCGGTTGATGGATGAGGAGGACGAATGGAATATATCAAAGATTTTTTATCCATACCAGACAGACCTACGATCCTTTGAAATTGGTAATAGAAAAATCCAGTAAATTATCCCATTGAGAGTATTACCAGCTACGGTCTCGCCTCAAGGCAGGCAGGAATATTTTTCCTCGCGAGAATGGTTTTTAGCTTTATCACAATTCTGGGGGAATATAAAAGTGTACAAGGTGTGTGTGTGTGTGTGTATATGTGTGTTGGCCAATGAGTAGTGGGGAAAAGTCTCTGACTCTGTGGCTTTGGTGCTTGACACAGTTGGTATTTGAAATGCATTAATCACCAACATCCCATAAAAATCCTAGTGCTTTAACTGGACGAAAAACAAGATAAATAGCCCATAAATAGATTTTTCCCCAGACGTAGATGTGGATCGAATGACGGAATGATGGGGGAAATAAAAATGAAGTGAATGATATACGGGCGGGTATGTATTTATGTGTTTGTTTGTTTGTGTGCGTGCTGTATGTGGAATTCACTTAAGGAATTGCCATTTAACCAAAAATACTCGAATGATTAACCAAATAAAAAACCCCTTGCCCTTCCCCGTTCCCCGTTCCCATTCCCATTACAGGTGATGATCGTAGTGCCCTCGATAAGGTATATCCAATGCAAAACAATGCGTATTCCATGGTCAATCATTCCCATTCATAGCCGTTAAATTGAAACTCTGGGAGAATACTCATAAGATGCGAAACTGGTATGTAAATGTGGCACTGCCACCTGATTAATATGTGTACAGTGGTGAGTCTCACATGCTATACATATGTAGCTGCAATCTTACATAAGATCTGTTATCAAAGTGAATCAAAATAATGATTAAATTTTATTGGATATAAGATCATGGTTGATATTCCACACAAAGATATCCACCGTTGAAATTCAAACTTCTACAAGTCCTATACATTCATATGAATTATCTATATCTATGTGTGTGTATATATTTGATTCCATGCCAAAAATTGAATGAACAATCGCTGGAGACGCGCCCAATTCCCCAATCCATAATCATCGACAGAAGTAGCGGCAGCTGGCAAACTGGCAGCGGGGGCTGGCAATTAAAATGCAAAGCCACAAAACCTCTCAAAGGGTACAACAAAAAATGATTATTATCGTTGTTGTTGTTGCTGTAGTAGTGCCAGTGCCAGTGCCTCGCATGACGTTGATGGGGAGCTCTGCCTTTGCGGATGATATGTTGTTTTTTTTTTTATTGAAATGTCGACATGCTTACTAATCAACAAAATGAAACGAAACGAAACGAAAAGAAACGGTCAAAGAGTGGGGAAATATGTAATCAAGAAGTATGAGTAGAACTTGTCATACATTTCATTTTTTTTTGGGGTTCTTTTTCCTTTGATTAATCATGCGCTGAATGCACAAACGACAGAGCAGAGGGATATGAGGAGTACCAGGTAACATGTAGCGTATATACAGCGTGTATGTATGTATGTATGTGGCATGCCCCATACACAGGAAATTGAAACCGAAATGCAGCGACATTTGGCTTCAAACTTATTTGGTTCGAAAGAACCGCTTACCCCATATAAAACTCCCTCCTGTTGTGTGTGTGTGTTTGTGTGTGCATCGTCAAAGAACCGTTGGCTTTGGCCTTTTTATGTCCCCCTCCACACTCTACACGAGTTCTCGGGTTCGTTCTTTAAAAAGTTCATTGAGCATTCAATCGTTGACTTCTCTAATTTATGCCTTACGAGTGTTTATTGTTTGCATATTCTTTTGCTGGCGATTCTTTTCGTGCCGCCGACACTTTTCTTCTTCCAGGGGTCGTCTGTTTCTTTGTCTTTTATGGCTCTCTGTATATGCAATGAAAGTTTTCGTTTCGTTGGTTATTGTAAAAGGGAAATCCCTTTTTTGGTTGGGGGTGAGCCACAGACCATACACCATAGACCATAGACCAGAGCCCCGTTTTGGCATTTGTTGCAGCTTTTCTAGGGCTGGGCCGCCGCCTGTTGTTTTTGTTGTTGTTGTTGTTGTTGACTCTAACACTGACACTGGGACTGGGACTTGGGCTTGGCCCTCCATACATCCATCCATCTATCCAGTGCGAGGATGGGCTCTCTATTGACCCAGAAAATGAGATACAATAAGAAAATGTTGCGCCCGCCTTTCTGTTTTGTTTTGTTTTTTAAGTGAAATTTTGAAAAACGCCATCAGCTGAAATGTCTCTTAACGATATGATGATGATTTCCATGCGTTGGCGTTAGCTTTGGCTTTGGCTTTGAGTGATGTGGGAATTGCATCTGCATTAAGTTGTCAGCCCTGAGTGGACGTTGGTGGGGAGCCCTGCCCTCATTTAATAAAACCGATAATGAATGGCCCTAAAAATGTATTCTATAGAGGGGAAACCTTTATGGCAGAGATTTTTGTTTTTTGTGGGAAAGTATTAGTTCTATGGAGCTTTGAGATTTTAGAGTGGGTTTTCTAACTGTTGGGAGGTAATATGATTTAGGTTAACGGCTTTTTGTAGAGTTCTATCGATTTGTTCTGCGGATCTTGAGAACTGAATGACTGAATGTTTTGCATATATATTTCTTTTTTAAATATAAATAACGTTTCAAAATTCTGTAAATAATTCTATATCTATAAATACATGTCCATTTCCCACATCTCGAATCTTTCCGTCGAAATATTTTGAGTCATTTTCCAGTTGTCCAAATCGAATCAATGGCCCTTCAAGACACATTTGACCCAATTTTCCTGCAACCAAATCGATTACATCAGTGCCCCACATCATCAAAAACGATTCACCGGATCTGTAAACCCTGCGACACCCAAAACAAAATTAATCTCTCTCTCTCTCTGCAGCCAAAAAAACAAAAACAGAAAAACACTTTATTAATATCCAACCCATATTTAACCCAATTTCCAGAGCATGACGCTAATTGTATTTTAAATATTATTGGCCCCTACATGGCTTACCTCTGGGACAGTATGTACACTGTTCCACAAAATCGAAATCAACGAAATTTGCCGTTAAATTTGACACTCATCAAATGTACACTTTTGTTGTAGATTTATCAATTAGCACACACACACACACACACACAAGCACAAACAATATTGAAGAGTGGGAATTATTAGCTGAAGCCAAGAAAGAATATAAGAAACTCTCTTTTGGACACACTATTTTTTTTTGTATTTTCTTCTTTCACCGCGCTTTCGTTGTAGAAGTAAGTATTTCGTAATATTTGTTGGAAATTTTGGTTTGTTTTGCTTCACGGAATTCTTTTACTTTCACACTGTGACGAAACGTTTGTTAATTTGCATAAAAAAACGAAACGAATTTCTGTTCAGAAGAGAAAGAGTATATCGCTCTCGCGTTGTGTGGGCAGACGACGCGCACGCGCACAAAAAATCTCTTTTTACTGTTGTTGCCTTGGCCTTTGAGCAGCACTCTGGTAACCCTGTCCCGAACACGCTAAAGAAACCGAACCGGTCGGAGCGACGTGCTCCAAGCTAATGAAAACGCCAAGTTCTGACTCTGAGCCGAGAACCCGAGCTTCAAGCCGCAAAGCCTCTGCTTCTGCTTCTGCCGGTGCCGCTGCCTCAGTCTCAGTTGGCTTCGCTGTTACGTGCGCGCTGCCGACTGACTCGTTTAACAGAGCTGAACTCTGTTGAAGAGCCCAGGCAAATGTTGTTCGGTGAGAAGAAGAGATTCTACCGATCCCAGAGAGATCCCATAGACAGATATTCCCCTCCCGGTTAAACAGTTGTTTAATAGTTTTCTTTGAATTTTGACCATTTTTTTTGTTGTTTAATGTTTCTTCTGGCTGCTGCTTCTCGTTTGATTTGTTTGCTGAGAAATGCGACTCTTTCGCTGGTTCCCTGGCATCCCCCTCCTACCCTCTATCTCTATTTTTGGTGTGGATTTTGTTTGTTAGCAGGTATTTAAATTTCATTAACATTTGTGCCTGGCTGCCCCTTCTCCTCCTCCTCCTCCTCCTTTTAGCAGTGGAAGAAGAAAGGTCTCTTCTTTCTGTGTGTCACCTTTATTTGACTCGGGAATTGTAATATCATATTCTCTTTCGTTTTCTGAGCTCTTCCTTTGTGGTGCGTGTGAATTTTTTATGGTTCATTAAAATTAAAAGCAGAGTTTTGCCTTTGACTTTGTTTTTTTTTCTCTCTCCGTTTATTTATAGCCGCCGATTGGCATTTTGAGAGGCAGATTCGTATGACTGTGGGAGACTTTGGTCGAATCTTAGTTGAGGCAATGAACCCTCTCCCCCAGATGTAAACAATTCCAATGAGTTATAGGCCGGGAGTCTTTAGCTGTCCCATGAAAATGATATCAGGAATTGTAGCTACTAATATTTATCCATTGGGTGGCATGTTATACAATTTTTTAGAATGAAATCCCTTATCTTTTTCTTCCACTGCTGGCACTTACTTTTGCATATCAATTTTTGTTCAGTGTAGAAGAGTTTTCTGCCAGAAAAAGAATATATGCAAGAGGGCTATGCAGAGAGAGAGAGAGAGAAACTGTCACAGGCATGATTTACGATAACATAACTCTAGAATATTCAATCACAGAGCACACACACCACACCACAGCACACCACAGTCCTCCCCATGCCACGCTGGAGATCCCGAACAGAAACCTTTTTCAAAATGCCGCAAGGCCAGAGCCATCAAAAGACTCGTAAAAAAAAGGCAAACCATGAAATATGAGCACAAATTATGAACAGACATCACGTCAAAGGATTAACAAGACCACAAAGATCTTTCTTTCTTTGGTATATTTTTTTTCTTTGTTTTTTGTATGTATTTATATTGCTGGGATTTCAAGGAAGTCAAGTTGGTGTCAGAGCCCGGGTCCGGCTTCGGCTTCGGACCATAAAAACAACCACATGATAAAAATCTAACAAAGTTGGGCTTACGCTTTGGCTGGGCGCGTTAAATGGTCAACACCCAGAAATGTTGGCAAAAGGGCCCTTTGAAGTGCCCCTCTTTTAAATGCAGATGATGTGCGTTGATTAAATATTGCTTTTTAATTTCTTTTATGCGCCGTTTTTTATTTTTTTTTATTTTAAATGCATAGCAAATGCATGGGAGTGTGAGCGAAATGCATAGGAAAAGATTTGATTTCATGTTTGGGGATGCAGAGCACGTATCGCTTGATAATAAAAAAAAAGAAGAAAAAACATTAAAAAAATTGAAAAAGAAAAAAAGGAAGAGGGTGGCTTTCGGTTGAGAGACCACCAACTAAAGAAATACCCTGCAGATCCATTGGGAATCTTAGGCAGAAGGATTATCCTGATCTAAAGACAAACTTTTGCAGAATTAGTAAGTAGTTTTTTTACACCCATTTATATTGTTTAGGGTGTTCCAATATACCCTTTTGCACTATAGAGTATGGAGAACAATTTGCCAAAGCGCGAACCAAGAAACATGAAGAAGCAGACGGCAAGTGTGCTGCGGTCAAAAGGCGTGGCCCTCACACAGAGTGAAGGAGAATGGAAAGGTTGAATCAAATCACTCGTTCTTGGCACTCTCTTATCAAATTAAAGTTTGTTGCCTCAGTCTTTCGTATTTCGTCTTTCCTCTTGTGTTCTTATCAATTTTGTGGAAATCATTGGACTGTTTGTAACGGTTAAGGGGAGGACAAGGGGGATTTATCAGGAAACGGTTGTTGTCGGCAGATTTGCATAACACACACACACACACACACACACACAACAGCAA